CGCTATAATTATTCTTCCGTACATAAAACTGTCGCAAAAACGTTTAGCCCTAAAATGATGTTAGCCCCGTTGTAAAGAGATCCTCGTATGACCATCGCCTCTGTGAGAATCTCCTCCCTCCTTCTCACCTCATCAGGTTTCTTGGGATCATAGAATCGGAAAGAAAGTTTGCCGACTTTTTTTAAATCTTTGAAAACCAAAGGCGGACATAAAAGTTCCTGGAGTTAATTCATTTCCGAGCACACCTTATCTCTTTACATAAGCAGCTCGTTATTGCATTGTTACAAACGCCGACTCTTGCAGAGTGGGTGATCCCGGTTGACGCCCTAGCGGTAGCCGCCTCTCTGAGACTCACGCTTTTTGTTTACTGCCATTTAATAAAAACGTTAGCCAATCGTAACTTGTACCAAAAGAGTTAATCAAAGTAATCAAAACAATGAAAATACTTTCAATAAAATACCTTGTGGTGTTTAGGGTTAGCAGCGAATTCTTTGATAACCCTAATTATGTCAATTATTTACTTTCAGGAAATTAGGGTCACAATTTGCCGCCAGTCACGACACGTCGAAGTTTCTTGTGAACCGCCAGGACCGCCAGTAAAAGAATGTGGCAAAACTATACCGATTTCAAAAGAAGACTGAACTTCTATTATCTCTGAATCTGCTGGGTGTTATTTAATAACCACTGTTCGTACTTCTGATTGGCTACAACTGCAAGAGGATTTATTTTAGACTTCAATTAAAAAGGCGCGCTACCAAATTCATCAGACGGCGATCGATATTTGATTTAGCGGAAAGAATCGGTCTACTTTCTCAGCTTAAATATGGCCGTGATCTTGGAGACTTTAAGCCTAAGAAGTCTTATAGCGTTTGCGTTTCTCTTGCTCGGTATTTTAATCGTTTTTTTCGTCACTGGTGGGAAAATTGGTAAGTAGAAGTTATGTTACTCGTTAGTAATCCACATATTTTCTCATCATTCTCCGCTTCTTTACCTCTGTAATTTGTATCCAATAAGTTGACTCGTAATCATCATTTGAGCAGCAAGCCGAGAATCTTTTGTTCTTGAGCGATCTTAGGGACAGGTTTGATAAATGAATCTTACTTCGCGATAAACGACAGGACACTGTATCGATTTGAATTATACGATTGCCCGAGTCTTTAAGCAAGTGCTAATTCATTAAACTTGACTAGGAATACACAAGCACTCAGCGAAGGTCAACTTACTATTTTAAGCTCTAAAAACACTAGAGACTTAAAGAAACTACAAACCGTGACAGCCTAATAATTTCTGTATTCATAACCGAGGGACTTGATTTCTGACAGTTCATTTGTCCCTTAATCGATTTATCTTGATGACTTATTGTGGTCACATTCTTTTTATCTTCACATCTCGTCACAGATATTGCTTCTTGTTCAACGTCTGATGAAGCTGCCAAACGTGCAAACTATAACTTCACATTTAGTTAGTAGTTCAATATAATCGGCTTTGCATAGCCTCATTATCCGGGTAAAACTGAAACCAGGCATAATAAGAACCGAATAAATGTAATAACGCTGATTGCATGGAATGAATTGTTTTGATCTACTTTGTAATCTTTTTTGTTTTTTTCTTTTTGTTTGAATGTTAAATGACGGCGTCCCTTATGGAAATATTTCTGTTTCTGTTATACACTCGATTCAATACACAATAACATATTATGCCATGTAAATACACATGGGATAAAAACGATACTCACTTTAAGATTTTTCAGGCTCTGCTCAACCCTAAAAGTACCAAAAAGCGGTGTCTAACCTCCTGCCCCCAGCCCTCATCTGACCCTGACCCCATCCTTCTTCTAGGGTTTAGTAAGTTCCCAAGAGAAACATTGAAACTAGAATTATAATAATAATAATAATAATAATAATAAGAAGAAGAAGAAGAAGAAGAAGCTTTATTTATCCATCTTTAAAAATAACATATACAATGGATTTACATAAATTAAAGGGGAAAAACATTTGTACTATGAANCGATTGCCCGAGTCTTTAAGCAAGTGCTAATTCATTAAACTTGACTAGGAATACACAAGCACTCAGCGAAGGTCAACTTACTATTTTAAGCTCTAAAAACACTAGAGACTTAAAGAAACTACAAACCGTGACAGCCTAATAATTTCTGTATTCATAACCGAGGGACTTGATTTCTGACAGTTCATTTGTCCCTTAATCGATTTATCTTGATGACTTATTGTGGTCACATTCTTTTTATCTTCACATCTCGTCACAGATATTGCTTCTTGTTCAACGTCTGATGAAGCTGCCAAACGTGCAAACTATAACTTCACATTTAGTTAGTAGTTCAATATAATCGGCTTTGCATAGCCTCATTATCCGGGTAAAACTGAAACCAGGCATAATAAGAACCGAATAAATGTAATAACGCTGATTGCATGGAATGAATTGTTTTGATCTACTTTGTAATCTTTTTTGTTTTTTTCTTTTTGTTTGAATGTTAAATGACGGCGTCCCTTATGGAAATATTTCTGTTTCTGTTATACACTCGATTCAATACACAATAACATATTATGCCATGTAAATACACATGGGATAAAAACGATACTCACTTTAAGATTTTTCAGGCTCTGCTCAACCCTAAAAGTACCAAAAAGCGGTGTCTAACCTCCTGCCCCCAGCCCTCATCTGACCCTGACCCCATCCTTCTTCTAGGGTTTAGTAAGTTCCCAAGAGAAACATTGAAACTAGAATTATAATAATAATAATAATAATAATAATAAGAAGAAGAAGAAGAAGAAGAAGCTTTATTTATCCATCTTTAAAAATAACATATACAATGGATTTACATAAATTAAAGGGGAAAAACATTTGTACTATGAAATACTATCAAGTGAATTTCTAATTAATGTAAGTAGAAATATACGGATCACAAAAGGGGGAGTCTTGCAGCTCTTGCTAAAAACAAGTTAGTATGTCTTTGCATTCTTGACTTTGGTACTGCCACTGAACCTGGTTTAGATCTTAAGTTATAGCCGTGGCTGGTATTTGGCTTTGTGAGAAAAATTTGATTTGGGTGGTTAAAATCATTCACAAAAAATGAGTTTTGCAAAGGACAAGATGTAAAGAGCTTTATTAAGAAGCCAAAGAAAAAGAAACAAGGAAATGACAATGAAATGCATGTTATTGTGTGA